ATTTACTGCACAGTAGCTAAATACACTACTTTGCTCTTGCTAAATGGACTCTGAATAAAGAAGAAACTTCATACTTGAACAATTTAGTTGTCCACCAAGTTCAATAGAGCCCACTGACTACCTCTATGGTTGATTATTCATTGCCTTGATTTTTTTTTTAAATCTATCACATTAAAAAAAAATCCCTGAAGTTTATTTAGTATTTATAAGATAGTCTTCTAATGGTGGTGGCTTTATTTGCCTTCTTGCATCACAATATAAGCAGACCTTTCTATGTTGTTCTGCCTACAGCACAGATTAAAACTTGAGCTGTAAAAATATATGTACAAATTACCAAGAGAAAAATAGAAAGAGACATTAGTGCCACTTGTTCTAGTTGGAGTCCAATTAAAAGAAATATGTTGTTTTGATTTTCCATTTACCTTTTTTTTAACCTTATTCCGTATATTATCAATATTTAAGATGTTTATTCTGCTAGTTCTTTTACTATTTTTAATGACTGGTAGTAATCATTTTACTTAGGATGTAGTACATATTCATTTGATTATAAATTGTATACATACATTTAAACAAACACAAATTGGGAAAGAATTAAATGGAATATTAGTGAATTCAATTGGACAAAATATATTCAATATTTCAAGTCTTCATTTTTCTAAAGAATGACAACTTTTTAAATATGAGGTGAGCTGTATATATAAAGACAGTATTCTCAGTCCAGTAAACTATATGCTATTAGGCAAAATTCCTCATAACTGAATCAAGCCAAAAAGTATGGTTAGTTCTGCAAAGAAGTATTTTATACCAATGTTAATACCCCAAATATTTTGGTCTTTAAAAATGATATGAAATCCTTATCTCACAGCACATTGGCCCACTACAATCCATTGGGCTAATGGTTTTTAATAGAAGTAAACATTCAGTTTTCTCTTGCTAACAAAACAATCAGGCCATCTTAATTCTGTGTATACAATCTGGCCATAATAGAAAAGAAAATGTCATCAGATTCTGTTTGCTTGATGTAGAATTCAAAGAAGAAAATATTGAACAAAGAAAGCGCTTAATCTTTAGGATGAAGAATAAAGGTGTTTTTAAATTGGGCTGATACTATAGAACTTTCAAATATCAATCTCTCAGTCTTCTCTTGCACACATGTTTAAATCATGCTTTTCTGCCAGGTTATTTGATGTTTAGCATCAGATATACAGCCTTTCATCACTGCATTCCTATATTATTCATCTTAATGTGAAACAGATGTTTTTCCCGATAAAAAGGCCTAGAAAAGAAAGTAGGAAAAGTCAAAAGAAATGTAGGTGGGAAAGGGGAGAAAATAGCTGCCGAGCAATTATTTTGCTACCATAGGTTAGAGGAGATTTCCCAAAACCTGAAAAACGGCATCAGATTTTTAAATGCCCCCATGAAAGATATAGAAAAGCTTTCTTCTGATTTAATAGTCTATAGATAATAGAGAACCAGAGCGTTCACTGCAGTCTAGTTAAATCTTATGTAAGTAGCAATAACATGCTGATTCCATATGCAGATAATCCTTGATTTACAATCATGTAATAACTGTTCAAATTTTCAACGGCATTGAAAAAAGCTACTTATGACCATTTTTCATACATATGACCAATGCAGCATAAGGACTGTGGTGGCACAGTGGTTAGAATGCAGTACTGCAGACTACTTCTGCTGACTGCCAGCTGCCAGTAATTCAAGTCTCACCTGCTCAAGGTTGACTCAGTTTTCCAGCCTTCTGAGGTCGGTAAAATGAGGTGCCAGATTGTTGTGGGCAATATGATGGCTCTTTAACCCGCATAGACAGAGCTATACAGTTCTGTGAAATGATATAAAAATCTAAGCGCTATTGCTATTCCCTAGTCATGTGATCAAAATTCAGATGCTTGGCATCTAATCATATTTATGATGGCTCCAGTGTCTAGGGGTCTTGGGATCACCTTTTCTGACCTTCTGACAAGCAAAGTTAATGAAGAAGCCAGATTTACTTAACAGCCATGTTACTAACCTAACAACTGCAGTGATTCACTTAACAAATGTGGGGAGAAAGGTCACAAAATGGAGCAAAATTCACATAACTGTTTCTCTTAGCAACAGAAATTTTGGACTCAGTTGTGATTGTAAGTCAGGGACTATCTGTAGTAAATATTTGTAATGATAGACTAAATAAATTTGTTTTGCTTTTTTGGCTTTTTAAGCATTAAGAGCTTTTACATTACCCAAGATATTCTTCAGTGTTGTTGACTTAGATGTTGCTTTCCTCTTTTTATTTTGATATTTTATTTTCTTTCTCCTCAGTTGAGAAGTACAGATGGATTCGGCATGGACTATCCAAGTTGGCATTTTGTTGTGTTGTTCCATTGTTATTGTGGCACTGAGAATCAGCTGCTCCAGTAAAGCAAATGCATAATTTAATTACTGACTTTCATGCAATTAAATCATTGAACAATTAGACTCCATTTCCAGACTTTTCCTCTTCCTTTCAAAGAAACTGGGTTTTAATTTGTTAAACTCTTATTATGGGCTATTTGCCTAACTTCATTCACAATAAAGTTCTTACTAGTTATTTAAGAGAAAGGATAAAAAGAAAATAGGAGTTGTTTTTTTTTAAAAAAAACACCCACAAGAAAATCCCACACAGACATTTTAACTTACTTCGAAGTATGATCTTGAGCGACTCACTATTTCACACTTGAAGGTGTTGTTTTTTTAATTGTTCATTTGACATGTCTCTTCATTCTTTAAGTCCAATTGTTTTACAACAGCCCTTCAGGTTTAAATTTCATATTTAACTAGACATGATGGAAAACCCAAACCAACATCACAATATCTGGGGGATACCTCAGTTCAAGTTGATCTGGACAATATTCCTAACTTTCTACCATAGACCATTTTTCTTTCAGAGTAGCAGTTTTCTTTTTCCCCATGCTCAAAATATTTTAATATCCTGATTTTGATTACATACCTGTAAAAACAGAGATGATAACCCCTTTTCTATCAGTAGAATGCCGAAAATAATCTGCCAAACTTATGCCTTGTAAAAAGAACGTGTGAATGCTGTGTTTTTCCATCATATAGGGTGAGTGGACGAGAGAAGGGTGTGATTTTGATTAGAGGTAATTCTTGTTTAGTAACCCCAGCTGTGACAAGCAACTTGGTCATTAAGTGAAGCAGTCATTAAGTGAAACCATAACTTGCTTATTATTGTTCATTTCTTTGTTTTAGGTCATAAGGTCATAAATGCAAGGATTGATCGTAATTTTTTCACCACCATCCTAACTGTGAAAAATCACTAAATGAGGCAGTTAGTAAACAAGAACTAGCTATATCGATTAAATGACAATTAAAACAACAGATGAAAAGAGCTATAGATCTCTTTTTCATTTTTTATTGTTTTTTCTCCAAACATATATTTAAACTGTTCAGCATTTCCAAAACTTTAGGCAAGCAAAGCTTGTCTAAAATCAGAATTGGGAACAATGCTTCTCTCACTGATCTCACATGCTTTGCTCTGTAACTTTTGTGTCTCAAGATTGTTAGTTTCCTAGTGATTGTATATTATCTAGGTAAATCTAAATAGCAGCTTGTCTATCTTCAACAGGACTTCCTTCATATTTTCCCTAAGAGATTATGTTGATTTAACCCATCCATCCACCCACTCTCTTTGCTTTTGGATGTATGACATGCTTCCAGGAAAAAGGATGCTTGACGGACACTAGAGACATGCAATCTGCATCCGGCATACCTCAAAATAATTAAAAAGGTTGACGTGTGGTGGATATTTAAGACAAGCAGTTTCAAAGAACCTTTCTAATGTCTGGGTAATGTTTGGAGAATAATCTCCTAGAGAATTTCACCATGAACAAAATATAAGTCCATAGATGCCATATTTGTAAGATAAGAAAATATTTTATTTTATATTATCATTCTACCTTTAACATTCAGTTATTGGTAGGTATGTATTCCCAGTGCAATCTTATGCCATTTTAACCAGTTTAGTAAAAGGATTTGGGTTTGCAATAATGGAAAGGGTTGGGTTATTTTGGGAGGGGGTGTTTTATTTTGATTTGGTTTATTTTCCCTAAATGATTATTTAATACAGAATCCATGCAGACTGTAAATTAGTGAAATGTACATGTTTTGAAATCTTCCAGTTGCAATAACATACTGAAATATGCAATAGATAAAGATAGACAGATGGATGGATGGATGGATGGATGGATGGATGGATGGATGGATGGATGGATGGATGATAGGCAGATAGACAGATAAATGATATATAGATAGACACACACACACACACACACACACACACACACACACACATATATATATATATATATATACACACAGACACACACACACACACACACACACACACACACACACACAGAGACACATATACACACACACATAAACAGAAATATATAGATAGATATAGGTATAGATACCGGTAGGTATAGATAGATGTAGATAGATGAATATAGATATAGGTGAATAAAAAGTGTATCTATGTAAGCAAATTAAATTCTCATGAATACAAAATTGGAAATTTCTGATTTCATCTTAGCAAAATATCTTATCAGCCTGCTGAAGTGTTGCTCAAATGGAAAAACAGAACAGAATAATAGAATTGGAAGCTACTGGATGTAGAACATTTCTGGCTGTTCAGACCATTTACACATTGTCTACCATTCTTCCCATCAGAGTTAATGATTGATTGCATTTATATATTGAGGAGATATATTTTTATTGTTGGAAAATGTAGATAGACTACATTATGCCCCAACAGTATTATCAGAGCAAAATCCTGAAGCAGATGTCATAGTTTAATCAACAGGAGAACTACTAGCAATAACAGGATTATCTTATCACATCCTAAAAAAGCAAAGTGTTACTTGTTCAGCATATGAAACATTAGAATATGGATTACATGTAATTTGTTCCCTTCTCTCCCTATCTTTCCTCTTTCTTTCCCACAGGTAGACGTAGGCGTTCTCCGCTTTGTATCTGCCATTGGGACTCAAGGAGCCATCTCCAAAGAAACTAAAAAAATGTATTTCCTGAAAACATACCGAGTGGATATAAGTTCCAATGGAGAAGATTGGATATCCATTAAAGATGGAAACAATAAACCTTTGGTAATATTTTTCATCTGTATCTTGACTATTTAGAGATTTATAAAATGCAATATTTAGTTACAGTTATCAGTAAAAGGCGTCCCTGCAGATTTTACTCCGCTGGTCGCTGCCGACTGCATGGTGCTCATCATTGTTTCAAGGCCATTAAGCTAGCGCTGTCCAGAAGCATTTCTATGGTCATGTGGCTAGCATGATGTCACAGACTCCTGTTACCTTCCCACCAAAGTGGTATCTATTTACTTACTTGCATTTTGAACTGCTAAGTGGTCAGGAACTGGGGCGAGAACAGAGGTCATCCCATCATGTGACGCTCAGGTCTGGAGCTACCACACTGCCCCTGAGCCACTACACTGCCCACAGTTACTAGTGTTTTAAACAAAATTCTAAGTACTTGAGGATCAATTATACTTATCCCTTTTACTAATCAGTCAAAAGCAATGTGCCAATAAAATAGCCTCAAAAGACAAATTCTAACATACTGAAATAAGTCTTACAGTTTTTTCTCCAATAATTTATGCTTTTTTTCTTGCTAGTGCTCTATCACTCATTATTAACTTATAGACACAAGAATGACAGAGTAATTCTATAATAAAATGCTTCATTGCTACATCATGGAAAACAAGGAAGTTAAATCACCAAAATGAAACACTTTTAAACCCATTAATTGTAATTGTTGATATTTAAATGCTTTCCCAAGCTAAACATCCTTGGTCTTGTCTGTATTATGTCTAATTTTATTAAATTGGGGGGGGGGGAGGATATTGAGATTCCCAGGTTTTGTTAAGACTGCAGATGGTTAAAAAAAATCCATGCAAGATAATAATATATCTCGTAGTAAATGTCTGAAGCATAAATAAAAGAGTCATGTGTTTCCCAGTTAATTATGACTCCTTAATATGAAAATATTGAAGAAGTCTACAGAATGGTACCAACTCAAAATTCTCATTTTCACTAAATTAGCATCATGTAATTATATTTGAAGTTGTGTGCTGGTGCTTGCTTGTCTTCTATTTTATCAACAAGTAATCTTTTAAAAATTGGAGAAAAGGAAATGCCGCATTGAAATGTTACATTGGATGGATATATTGTCCTCCCATTTGCTATAGGTTCCATAATATTTAGCAAAATTGGTCAGTCAAAGCTTCGTACATTTTCCCAGATATGCCTTATTTATTTTGGAAATACCTTAAAAGTCTTACACAGTCCAATCTTTGTACTTCTGCTGCACTTCCTTTATCATGGATAACAGATAACCACTTGGCTGTTTCATCCTGTTTGTCTGAAAGACAGCCAAACTTTACCACAGGCCTTGGCCTAACTTTCCTGTGCAATTAATATTAATAAGTTAAACAGATGGTTGGTACTAAATAGAGTTAATGTTTGCAAGAGATTCCTGCAGATCTTCCATTACTACTTCCTTCCCATTAAAAAAAAAAAACAGAAAGAGCAATTTTTAGCAAGACTATTACAAGGGAAATAATGTTTTAAATGTCCTATAATGGAGACATAGATATTTCTAGCTGTCCAGTCCCAAGAAAGTAGAAACAATTGAACAATTAAAACCCATTTATAATGGATAAATAGCAGTTAAAATTAATATTACAATTGATTGCATTTTAGCTACTTACACGCACAGGTTTAAATAACATGGTCAACTTCCTTTACTATATTCCGCTCTAAGAAAATACAAAGCAGGAAAGTTGGGGAAAGATTTAAGAAATTACTACCCAACAACGGAAAAATGCCTAATATCAGGAAATGGAGACTTAGCATTGTCTAATGAAAAAGGAAATTAGTCACCTTCCTTGAACTTAGTCAATGGAGAATTTGACTTTCTTATAGGTGTATTGATGTCTGGGTTGTAAAAAGCCAGACAATACAAAAAAAAAATTCTAAATTTGTTTGTTTATGTAAAACATTTATATAGCAATCCATCTTCTAACCAACTCCAGGCAACTCCCAATCAAAAGCTAAACCAAAAAAAATCATACTAAAATGATAATACTAAACATTAAAATATATCTTTGCTTCCATATGATAATCTTCTGGATTTTTGCATCTAAATATCATTCTATTATAATAAACTTTCTTAAGAGAGCAGAATAGATGTTATCAGTCTTTAAATGCCTTTATCGATTGTATTAAAAAAATTTTAGTGAAACATAGAAAAATAGAATACTTAGATTATACTAAATATTGGAAGTATCATAAGAAAACTATGCATTCAAATTATTCATAAGAAAGTAAGGTAGCCTCACTTTCAATTGGTCAAAACAATATATCCTCACTTTCAATGAGTCAAATTTTGTCCTTAGCAGTAATCTTAATCCCGCTATGTTTTATTCTATAGTTCTATATTGTTAAACTTTATCTAAGTAAAAATTGTCAGTTATAAGTTACCATATGGAACTGCAGGAATTCAGTATTCTATGTTTACTCTGTATTATTCTTTTATTCTGTAGGAATGTGATCATTTTTGAATTTATAATTGTTACTAACATTGTTATCATCAATCATTTTTACAATATAATTCATATATTTATGTGAGTAAACAAACACAGTTGAAATATTTTAAGGAATCTTTTAAATGGTTTCTCTTTTATAGCTATTCATGGGAAACATCAACCCAACCGAGATTGCTTATAGATCTTTTCCCAAGCCAGTTCTGACACGATTTGTTAGAATCAAGCCTGTAACCTGGGAAACTGGAATATCACTGAGATTTGAAATCTATGGCTGTAAAATTACTGGTAAGGATTATGAAGAATTTACCTTATTGTTTGTTTTTAAAAGAGTGATTGTCAGGACTCATCTACACTTTTACCTATATTCCGCTTCACTCCAACTTAACAAAGAAAAGGGAGGGGTGGAATGGAATGGAAGGATGGGAGGAATGACATTCATCTTTGTAGGTTCCTGTGAGACATTGCTCCCCCCTCAAGGACACCCCAAGCAGATGTCCCAGCGTGGCCTGCTGGTTCCCATAATAATATGAATAGAAATTATTGGTGGACGAAATGGACTGTGGGTGGTCTGTAGGGAAAGGGGGATTAACTATGCTTGTTTTTGCACAGGAAGCTCAGAGTTGGTTTCGCTTCTTCTGTGCCAATGTGGTTTATTCAGTAAAGTTTATACTCTTGGTAAAATAATGTACCAGGGGTTTCTTTTTCTGGATTTGCCAACTGGACAGTCGACAGAGATATTTTATTGTCATTGCACATCATATAACAAAATTAAATGCCATCTTCAGTGTACATTGTAACTATAAAAATAAAAATACAAAGATACATCCTTCTCATGCTATATAATTGAAATTGAAAACCCAATATTGCATTAATATTGCACTACACCATATAATTCAATATAGTTATAGTTGCCCTGGGAAACTGTTTTTCAGCCTATTTGTCCTTTTTAGTATCCCATATCGTCTGCCAGATGGTAATAGTTCAAAAAAAGGGTGCCCACGGTGAGATGGATCTTTAAGAATGTTTAGAACTTTCTTAAGGCAGTGGGAGCTATAAAGCTCTTCCAAAGAGGAGAGAGGACAACCAATGATCCTCTGGGCAATGACATTAACCCTCTGGAGCGCTGTCCTATTTGCCACTGTGCAATTGGCAAACCATGCACAGGTGCAGTAAGTTAAAATACTCTCTATGGTGCAGCGGTAAAAGGTCACCAGCAATTTTTAATCAGTACCATGGACCAGGACGAAAATATGACGTCCTGAAAATAAAGCCATACCATATTTTTCGGGTGGGCAAAAATATAAGCTCTTCCCACCACCACCACCCCCGTCCAGGCAGAGCGCCACTCACCGACCTAGCAGTATCCCGAAGACACCAAGCCATGGGAATGGGGGACAAAGGCACTCGTGTTGCTTGGCACCTTCAGGACACTGCTAGGTTGATGAATGGCACTGTGCCCAGATGGAGAAGGGGGTTGCCAGGAGGTTGCTCTCTTGCGAGCAGGCTCTTGAAGAGCCAAGAACAGCCTCAGGGGTGAATGGCTGTGTTGCGCTGTCGCACCCTTTCCAGCCAGGCACAGCGCCATTCACTGACCTAGGGGTATCTCAAAGGCACCAAGCCATGAAGCGCCTGTATCCCACCCCCTGGCTCCCATGGCATGGCACCTTCGGAATATCCCTAGATCAGTGAATGGTGCTCTGCACGGCTGGAGAGGAGGGTTGTGCGAGCACCTGTTCCACCCTCTGCTCACACACCTCCCAGCTTCAACATACCCTGGCCAGCTCTCACGGCCAGGACACCGCGGCTGCCGCTACCAACCATTCCAGCATGGCTTCTTCCCCAGCTTCCAAATTCCGGAGATTGGCTTCCAAGTCTTCTAGCAGTGGCCGCTCTGGGAGTGAGCTCTATGGTTGTGGGCTAGCTGCCAGAATACTCTGCTGGGACAGCCAATCAACCATAGAGCGCACTCCTAGAGCGACTACTGCCAGAAGACTAGGCAGGCGATCTCTGGAGTATGGAAGCCCAAGAAAGAGCCATGCTGGAATGGCGGCAGGGGTGGCAGCGGTGCCTGGCCCTGCAGGAACAGCTGGGTCATGGCATGGTGAGGGCAGGAGGTGCACAAGTGGGGAGCGGAACAAGGGCTCATGTAACTACCCTCTCCAGCAGTGCGGAGCACCATTCACTGATCTAGGGGTATTCCGAAGGTGCCAAGCCGTGGGAGCCAGGGGGCGAGGAACAGATGCTCACACGGCTTGGTGCCTTCAGGATACCCCTAGGTCAGTGAATGGTGCTATGCCTGGCTGGAAAGGGGGTTTGCCAGGTGGCTGTTCATGACCATGGTCACCTCATGGCTGCTGTGTTGCACTGCTGTGACAGCGCAATACAGCCGTTTGCCCCTGAGGATGTACCCGGCTCTTCGGGAGCCCACTCACAAGAGAGCAGATGCCCAGCAACCCCAAAATAATAAGCCCTCCTCTGATAATAAGGCCCAAGCCATATTTTGGGGGTCAAAAGAAAATAAGACCCTGTCTTATTTTTGGGGAAACATACTAGTAAAATTTCTGCTGGGCCCTTTTGACTCGTGCTGCAATGTGAGTGCCCCACGTCAGGTCCTCTTTTATGATAACACCCAGAAAGTTAAAACTGCCCACTTGCTCCACTAGGTCTCAATTGATAAGCAAAGGCTGGCTGTCTGATCTATTCCTTCTATAGTCCACTATAAGCTCCTTGGTCTTTTTGGTGTTAAGGACCAAGTTATTGTCTCCACACCACCAAAGCAACTGCTCCACTTCATCTCGATAGACAGAGCCACTCCCCTGCCCCCGGAGATGAGTCCCACCACTGTTGTATCATCTGCAAATTTACTAATAGTATTACTAGTGTGAGTGGGAATGCAGTCATGCACATAAAGAGAATAGATTAAGAGACTCAACATGCAACCCTGTGGTTGCATGTAAATAATTCCTGTTTATCTTAAAAAGACAGCAAATTGTTATTGTGATTTTCTATTTTTTCAAATTTGCAAATCAGTAGTTGTGTTTTGAGCTACAGGCACTTAAAATGTTAATGTGCTTATTAATTAGCACTGGGAAAATCTTTAAAAAATAACTGTATACATATAATGTGTATGTATTCATAAGATGTTTTATAAGGGCTCGCACACAAACAAGCACATGCACACACAACATCCATACATGGAGGGAGGAAACAAGAAACAGAGAGAGCCAGGGAGGGGCTATCATATATGAGCAGATAGAAGCTGCAAAAACTTAGCAGTCACTAGATGGAGTAAACAGCTACTCAAAAAAGTAGATTTTGTTGCCACCTAGGGTTTTTCTGAATTCGTACAGATTAAACATGTAGAGCACTTGCAAAACAAGAAAATTTATGAAACTAAATACTAACTTTGTGAATTAGGAAATGAAACCATGTAAATAATAACCACATCCGTACACACTAACAATCCAAAGGCCACATCAACATCTCAATGCTTATCCATTTAGTATAATGAGTAAGTTAACATTAGACATAATCCATCATTTATCCTATCTTACATAAGAATAGAATAATAATTTAGTTACTAATTTCTTTTCAAATCAAACAGTTCAAGGCTTTGGAGATAATGCATACAGAAGATTAATAAAAATGATTAAAAATGTTTGTGCTAGTCTACCAGTCATCTAGATTCCTTCTTCTTGTAAGATATTTCTATTCAGTTATATGGAGAACAAGAAATAAACATCATGTTGCATATGGATGGTATACATTTCCTTGTGTCTGGGTGAATTTAGAAATGTAAGCTTTTTACTTGTCATATCTACCTGTAATAATGATATGTGCATTCATATTGCATTATTCAGATAAAGAGGGTGTTTTAGAAGCAAGGAACAAGCAAGCAGATTAATTAAAAGAAAAAATTACTAGGAGGTTAATTCTATCTTTCTACCTAAAATAAAATCCATTAATCTAAGATATTTCATTAATCAGATTAATTGCATATTTCAAAATTGTTGCAAGCATATTTTCCAGTGTTTCTGTCTTTCTAAAAAGATTAGAAAGGAAAATAACAGGAAGAGGTGAATGGATGGGTGGAGGAATACGATACAGATGACATAATCTATTTTTATCAAACAATGTAATCAAAAATTTAACACAATGCAGCTAGCTGCAAAAATACTTAAGAATGGAGAAAAAATCCATCTCAAATATCTTCATTCATGCTGAGAAGTTCTACCTTCCAATTTCCTGAAAATATTCTACCAATTAAAGAAACTTCTGATGTGAAAGGGTTTCCCCTCCTCCACCTATTTTTGGTGTTTTCAGAGTGCTTTGGACTTACTTTTGTCCTGGTGGTGCTTTTGAATCAACATCATCATTGTAAACTGGCCAAAGATTTTATTGCTGTTGGCTTTATCGGTACTTGTTCCTTCAACACACTATTCCATTACTCTGTAGTCCTCTTGGCTTGTGATCTGTATCTTACTGATGGCCAAATGCTAATCTCTGGTTCGTTTATCCGGAATGAAGGCCAATCAATCATGCAGTCAAAGAAAGTTGAAATATGTCACTTTACTTCTGATCCAAAGCAAAGGGGCTTCTCCTGCTGCTTTAGCAAAAGAGTAAGAGGAGCTTTAAGTAAGGCTTGCATTCTATTTTTATACCCTCAGCCAAAAGAGATTCAAAGCAGAAGTTCAATCATTTGATTATAAATTTCATTTTCTAGATTGCACATGCAACTAGATGTGTTTGCCAGGTTTTTCTTAGCATGAGCTAGTTTTTAGCTTGCAAATAATTATCTCCAGAGTTTCATCTGGACCTCCCATCCCACTCTGTTGCCTTCCTTTGTTCCAGGTTTATTGCAACAAGTTTCTATATGCTTTCTGAACCACATCCTGTGCATCTAGCTATAGTTTCTCTGTAGGGTTTGCTTTTAGAGGTCCTTATCATGTGAATAAATCTTGTTCTGGTGTAGATAAGGTGCTGTATCTCCCGTGTTCTGAGTTTCTATGTAGACAAGACGAAAATAAACTGAAAAGAACATGTTCCTTTTTGAACAAAGTGCTTTCAAGGTTGGAATTTGGGTGGTCAGGACCTCATTCCCCTCTCTTTTTTCAATCAAATTGAATGAGAATGATTAAAATTTGCAGAAGCATGCTTTGGCTCAGTCACATCAATCAAGAAAAGATTTGGCTAAGCCTAATGAGTCAATTTATGGGTCTGTAACACAAGGCTTTCTAAATGTGTCTTATTGGTTATTCTATTTTAATTCATTCAATAATACACTTCTCTGCAAATGATGATAGAAAAGCTGATAAAAAGAATGATAAAAAATACATGAGCAGCAAAACTATTCAGAAATGATATGCATATGGATATGGTAGGGATGTGTATACAAACCACTTGTGTACTTTCTTTTGCTTTGGTTTAGATTATCCTTGTTCTGGCATGCTGGGTATGGTGTCTGGGCTCATCACGGACTCTCAGATTACAGCATCAAATGAATTGGATCGGAATTGGCTTCCAGAAAATGTCCGTCTTATAACAAGTCGTATAGGATGGGCACTGCCACCCCCAGTTGGTCATACATATACAAAAGAATGGCTTCAAATAGACCTTGGTGAAGAAAAGACAGTCCAGGGCATAATTGTCCAAGGAGGTAAACACAGAGAAAACAAGGTCTTCATGAGAAAATTTAAAATTGAATATAGCTACAATGGATCAGACTGGAAATGGATTATGGATGCCAGCAAAAAGAAAGCCAAGGTAAATTTGTAATCCTGCATGGTGAAGAGCACAGTAGGTACTGTTTATATCCAGGATTTTGATCTGCATGCAAAAGGCTCATTTTGGGAATTTCCAAATAAAAATAGCAGGTGGAATGCTAGGCCTTTGCCTAAAATGCTACAGAGCTATGCAGTTAATGTAGAAAATAATGATGTTTTCTATATCCATGAACTAGCAGCAACCTATTTGTTGCCCTCTTAATTTAAGATAATCAGGAAAATAGTTAATTCAAATGCTTTTATCTTAACTTACACAAAGATAAAGGCTCTATTGAATCAAGCTTAATGTTTGGCAACTACAAGGATGTGTTTTAATTCTTTCTTAGTCAAATTGTGGATATGGTTAGACATTGCCGCCTTAAAGAGTTTTACTATTATGTTTATATTTTGTAGTGTAGTCTATAGCATTAAGACCATCTGGTGGTCTCCTGTCCAAGTATTAACCCTCTCTCATCCTGGTTAACTATCATGCCCTTTGTCAATGTGAAATGTATAGTTCGGTTGTGGGCTATAAGTAGTACTTAGTACCGGCAACCGTCTCTAATTTACAATGGTTGTAGCATTTGGTGGTTATGTGACTGCAATTTACTACCTTCCTTGTTGACTTCTGATAAGCAAGTCAATTAGGGAGGCCATTACTCCGTAATTCATTTAACCACTAGGGTAAAAAAAAGTTTGTAAAATTGATCATGTGATAACTCAATGGCCATATTGCTTAGCAACTGAAATTCTACACTCAATTGTTGTTGTAAATTCAGGATTATCTATTCTATCTGTACATGCAAACTATCCCACGTTTCTTTACTTTAAAAAAAAAATCCATGATGAACTATTGCTTGGCCATATTACTAGAATCAGGCACAATATAAAGCAGTTTGCTAGAACTTTGACCTGTCCAGAAATTGTATCCACTTCTTAACTTCTATAGGAAGAAAGAAAATCATGGATCTATTTTTAAATGGCCTTGAGTCTGAAAAAATAAATAATTCCAGCAATGGGATCTTATATTGTCTTGTATTAGAAATGCAGATTGTCCTGACATAGCCGTCTAAATGAAGCAGAAAATAAATAGCATTATATTTTTTTGCTGTGACATATTTTGGGTTACTTAGTCTTCTGGTATTAATTCAGAGCATTTGTTCTTACTGTCAAAACTAACAGTCCGGGCAAAATGAATGCTGGCAGACATATTATGTCCATTCAGAGTCTTAATTTCTTAGAAAAGTGAGTTTTCAAAATCTATTTTAAAAAAAGTTTTATAACATGCATAATCCTAGTAAATATTCAGAATATTTAAAATTGTTCTGTCTGTGGGGAAATTGGGTAAAATCCTGAGATATTAGAAAGCAACAAGAATTTAAAACAGGACAGGCAATTTTAAAATATTAATTAAGCTTTGCTATATGTACTGCTGACTACACTGATTAAAAGAATAAATTAAAAGCAAATATCTTTCTTGAAAAGAAACAGAATTTACTGAATACATTATTTGAGGGAAAGCACCATGTGATAGATTTTTACCTGTTCATATTGCTGTAATAATCAGCTGAACTGCTATTTTTATTTAATAATTTTGCTCCTTTTTCTTGTACAACATATTCAAAATCAGACACACCACACAATATGAATTATTATATTTTATTATCTAAACAGTAATTAAGGATGGATTCCATAGTAACAAGAATGGATCCCTATAATAAATAGGCTTTTCTTTTATAGAATTTATGTATTTATTTTTATTCATATCACTCATTTTGTTAGGAATGCATGGTAACATACAGAGAACTCCTTATTGTTTTTCTTCACCACTGTCCACCTGTGGGTTAGATTAGGCTGACTGGTCCAAAGTTATTCTTCCAGAAGGAATAATCTTGAGGACAGAGGGAAGAGCGACTACCAAGACAAAAGCCAAATAAAAGAAATCTGAGCCAGAACAATATTCTTATAATTGGGCTGGATTTTAACTTCCATCTGCAAGGTAATGAAGGATAAAGCCATATTGTGGTACCTCATCCATTTCAGTTATGACAATGTAACAACAGATGCTGGGGAAGTGTCAAGGCTGGAATACTCTACCTGACCCATTGTTATATCCTTTAACCCCCAACCTTAAGGTTACGACAATCTTAAATTGTCTACCGTGGACCTCACCCCTGTTTAGTCCTTGCAGCTACGATTGACAGCCAGCAACAGCCAGGCCCCGCCTGATTGGCTAAGGCACGGCATGGCTGAGCGCGGGCTGTCAGACGCACGCCTATTGGCCTCCCAGCTTGACAGCTCCGTATAAATAGCTGTCAAGCAGGGCGGAGTCCCGATCTACCGCTAGCCTGTCTACTGTTCGGAACTGTTTAATAAAGAGCTGTTAACTTTACCTCAGGAGCCTCCTACCTCATTCTTCTTTGGTCCACTTCACTGGCGACGAGGGTGGGATCCACAGGCCCTGATTAACAGCCTAGGACAGAGACAGAGAATTCATTTTTTATTTCTCTCCGCGCTGCCGAGAGACCTTAGCCGCTAGAGCCATGGCTGCTAGAGAGCTGAGGTGGCGCAGTGGTTAAATGCAGCACTGCAGGCTACTTCAGCTGACTGCAGTTCTGCAGTTCAGCTGTTCAAATCTCACCGGCTCAGGGTTGACTCAGCCTTCCATCCTTCCGAGGTTGGTAAAATGAGGACCCGGATTGTTGTTGGGGGCAATATGCTGACTCTGTAAAAACTTCTTAGAAAGGGCTGAAAGCCCTATGAAGCGGTATATAAGTCTAACTGCTATTGCTATATTCCCGTTCGCTCCTTTCGGAACCGCTGACGAGTCGTGAGCCAGGTTCCTGGAGCGGTTCAAGTGTTTCCTGATAGCAAACAACAGGCAGGGATACTTGCAGGCACACAAGTACAGTTTTTTTCTTAGTGCCTGTGGTCCCGAAATATTCGGCACAGCCCGCTCTTTTGCAGCTCCGAGGCCAGTCTACGAGCTGAGCTGGGACGAGCTGATGGCTGGGCTGAAGAACCACTATGCTCCTACCTTTTCCACTTCTTCCAGCAGTGTGTTCAAAAACAGACTGAATTGATTAGCCAGTTTCTCCAGTCCCTCAGAAGTGCTGCCATTCAGTGTGAATTTCCAGACCCCGATGACAACCAAGTTGGGCAATTTGTTTGTGGAGTGCAGGACATCCGGCTCAAGTGGCAGCTCCTAGCAAAGGCTGACATCACCCTGCCACAAACCGTAGACGAGGCTAGGGCAGCAGAGCTGTCCGAGCAATCTACCATTGAGATGGCCAGGGTCCTGCTTCTGCCTCCTCTGCCTGCGCATCGGGCTTGCCTGATTGATGAGCTGGTGCCACTGCCTGACCCTGACAAGGAAGACCAGGTTGACTGCTGAGGGCCATTCTGAGACGGCACTGCCCTGCACCGCTGCGGCAGCGGCCACCTGCCTTGGTTGCGGAGGCTGTGTCTGTGTGCCACCGCTGCAACACCTGGAGCAAGTCTGCCAGACCACCCTGCCGCTTCCTCCGCAGCCTGAGGCTTCCCAGCAATCCTACGGCCAGCCCGCACGCTGCGGAACCAGATAACCCGCCGTCAGCAGTCCCGCCACTTTGTCATTGACAAAGACCTCCCTGCCACCCCTGCAGAGTCGGTCAGCCAGGCGACGGCCGGCTCTAAAAAGATAACTGTGCCCCTCTTCCTTGAGGGGTCGCCTTGCATAATGGAGGTGGACTCTGGGTCCTTCCGTTCCCTCCTCTCATGGGGCACCTTCTCCCGCCTCTGCCCCAGCATCCCGAAGTCCCAGCTGTCTCCACCAGACACTGTGTTACGGGACTACCTGGGGACTCAGATTCCTACCCTGGGTTGCTATGAAGTGCGGATGGAGTATGGGGAAAGGGGTTGCTGCCTTCCTATCCTGGTGGTCCACAAGCTGCTGCCAGCTCTTTGGGGCCTGGATTGGTTCGTCCCATTGGGCCTCTCCCTCTCCGGGTTGCACCTCACAGCAGACACGCCCCCTGGCATCAAAGATGTCCTGGCAGAGTACGCCGACATTTTTGATAGTAAGCTGGGGAAGTACAAGGGGACCCCTATCTCCCTCAACCTAGACCCCCAGGTTGCCCCTATTAGGCTGAAGGCCCACAGGGCGCCTTTTGCCTTGAGGTCTAAGGTTGATGCAGAACTTGACAAGATGTTGGCACAGGGAGTCCTGGAACCCGTCGACCACTCGCGATGGGAGACCCCAATAGTGGTCCCTGTCAAGGCCGACATGTCCATCAGGATCTGCGCCGACTACAAGTCCACCATCAACCTTGGCCTCCAGGCAAACCCCTATCCAATCCCTGTGGTGCAGCACCTTCCTCATTCCTTTGGGCGGGGCTACACCTTTGCCAAAGTGGACATGGCGCAGGCCTACCAGCAGCTCCTGGTGGATGATGATGCGGTGGCTGCTCAGACCATTGTCACCCACCATGGGGCCTTCCGTTGTCACCGCCTCCAATTCGGCATTTCCATTGCCCCAGAGATCTTCCAGAGCCTCATGGAGCGGCTGCTCCATGAGCTCCCTGGCATTGTCCCTTACTTCGATGACGTCCTGATCGCTGTTACCAGCCGCTCAGGGCTCATCGAAGTACTTCGGAAGGTCCTCAACCGTTTTAGGGGCGCGGGTCCCAAATTAAAGCGCAGCAAATGCTCCTTTGCTGTGCCTAAGTTGGAATTCCTGGGCTTCATGATTGACCCCCAGGGAATTCACCCTAGGTGCGGCATGGCTGAGCGCAGGCTGTCAGACACACGCCTATTGGCCTCCCTGCTTGACAGCTCCATATAAATAGCTATCAAGCAGGGCGGAGTCCTGATCTACCGCTAGCCTGTCTACTGTTCGGAACTGTTTAATAAAGAGCTGTTACTTTACCTCAGGAGCCTCCTGCCTTGTTCTTCCTTGGTTCATTTCAACCCCATTCCTAAGAGGTCTGTAAAGGGGGCGTACATAAGCGCACCAGTGTGTCT